CTAAGAGAAAGTGTTATGGATTGTAACCAAATATAGTTAGAAAGCCCAAATGGTGGTTAAGGTCCAATTGTCTATATAAACATTTCTCAAATATGTATTTGGTAGTGGATTGAATTACATAAATACAACTGCTCCCTCATCTCTCTTCATTCCTTTTATGTTCCACTCGCAYGACATGCACAGTGCTGTCGTCGGATCATAGAGTTCTATGTTTGTAGTCGCTCCCTTTGTTGTTATGTCACCCTCGTTTGAAACTTTCCAGCTCGCCGTCAGCGTACCCTCATGCTAAAAAGACCGCCAAATCGGCAGTTGATTTATGATTAGGTACCATATAGTTTGCACTCCTTTAATTAACAGTTTGATCGGTTTTTGATTTCCATTTTCATATTAAAAATATATGACCTAACTAAATTGAACTGTAAACACCCTTAGTCATGATATGCTAGCTCCAGCGTAACTTTTATTATATATACAATACAAGTGACTCATAACAGTCCAAACCTCTTCAACTAGATTGCAAGGAACTATGTTGGATAAAAGGAACTTATGACCTTTATGAACTCGATTACGATAATAGTCTGAAACTTCTCTCCCGTTTTTATTGAGAGTAAACAAGATGAAAGTATTCTCAAATATTTGAAATTATCCTCAAAAAGCCCGTCTCCAAGTCAAAATCTAGGTAACCCATCCTTTTGGGACTAGGAGCCCAATAGCAATCATTGAATTAATGCAAATGATCGTAGATCTACAATCGTTGAGTATTACTAATGAAAATGATTAGAGATCACAACTCAACGCTTGGAGAAGGACTTCTAGCTGATGGTGATCAGTCAGAAGCGGGTAGCCTAGCTAAGGTTCGAATATTGGATGTTTTYTAATTAGCAAGCTTGCTATTATTATTGAATTAAAAAATAGTTTCAAGCGTTGATTTCAATGGCTCAGATGTTGCGTAAAAGGTCCTAGAATAGGAATTAGAAAAATCTAGGTATATAATATCAAAAAATGTGAATATTTTTTTTGTTTTAGCGACTTGAAGTATTTATATTATTTGAATTAGTTTTAGAATACCGTGACTACTTGTTCGTTTTTCCAGTAACTATTGATTATAGTAAATAATATTTTGCTTGTGTTGGATATAGTTTAAAAATTATAAATTTTAACTAGAAAAAGTAATTTAATTTTTCTAAAAAAATTAATATTAATTTCAAATACTATTATTCTACTTGATTTTTTTTGGAGGGTTTACAAACATCAATAAAGAACTTTCTTTTTTAAGGTTTTAAAATTGTTGAAAATAGGATTATGATGTTGAAAAATAGTAAAAACTGTCAAAAAGAAGTAATTGAGACAAACTAGTTATTGATAACTAATTTAACCATTATCAAAAACTTATAACTTTTAAAAAATATGAGTTTTTAAGGTTAACGAAACCTTTGAAAACGGACCTATTTCGACACTCTGTGAAAGTTGAATAAACCTCTAAAACAAGATATATTGAAAGTTTATTTTATATTTTTTTAAAGCTCACACATAGAAGGTAATAAGTATATAACAACGCACATAAATATTATGTGTAAATATGAAAACAATTCAAACATTATAACACACATTCAACTTTCAATTATTTAAGTGAAATTATTTCATAGCATAATTATAACATAAAGATCATCATTTTTTTTAGTACAACATGTTGGAGAGAAATTCGAACTCTCAATCTCTTGATGCTATTATATATATTGATAATATTTTTACTTCCAATCCCTTAATAAGCTATTGAATAACAAGAGGTAAAGATAGTATATCAAATATATTAGTTTAGATAATGAAGTGTAGAACTTACCTAAATGAATAAACATGATTGCT